ATCCCTTCAGCCCCATCCTTGCTGCCGCGAAAGGCAAGCGTTCATCTTTTCTGATGGCCGAGGAGCGTCCACTGCGTAGGCCCCACCTTCTCCAGCCACTCCTGTTTGGGGCATGGGGTCCTTTCCGGGCCTCGGCTGCTGTGACTGTGCTGCAGTGAACACGGGGTGGGGGGGGTTTGCTTCCGAGTCAGTGCGCTGTGACCTCTGGGCAGACTCCCGGGGGTGGAAGCTCTGGGTCATCTGGCAGCTCCATGTTCAAGATGGCGGAACCCCCCAGGCCCCCGGAGGGGCTGGGCCAGTCTGCACCCCATGTGGTCACTTCAACTACACACTGCTGCGGGCTGGGGGTCGGGGCGCATGTTGGTACTTTATGTCCGTCTCCCAAGCCTGGGCAGTGCCGGGCAGAGGACAAAGCTGGCTGAGGCCGGCGAGGCTCATGTTCCCGGCCTGGGGTTGCAGAGAAGACGTGGCACGTGGCCTCCTCGCCCAGTGACCACGGGGTGTGCGCGGCAGCCCCGGGCCAACACTGCTGCTCGACCACCGAGTCCCACTACGTCTGGGCCCGTTCGGATGAGCTCGAGACCCACCTCGCCGCCCGAAGAGGCCCCGTTCTCATGGCACACCGGCCGGCCCGCCTAGCCCCAGGACAGCCGCACCCCACGGAGCCCGCCATGCAGCCTGGACTCGGAGGGGAGCGAGACGCCGCTCAGGGTCAAAAGGAAATGCAGGGAGGAGGGGAGAGCGTCAGGGAGGCCCCCCAGAGGGCCTGTCATGGGGACCCTCTAGAAAGGGGCTCTTTGAACCGCTGCCGGAGGAGGCGAGGCCGGAGCCTTGTACGGCCGGGACAGCGCGTCGCCCAGCAGTGGGGAGCCCACGGCCCCAGGAGAGGGGCGCGGCCAGTGCGTCCACCGTGTGGGGCCGCGAGGAGGGGGCCGCAGGCCTGCGGGTCTGCAAGACCCCGGTCTAGATGGCGCCTCCCCCAAAGCGTGTCAGGATGTCCCCTTCTATTCCTGGCCGGGCCAGAGGGGGAGAGCAGCACCGGGACGGGACGTCTGGCCCAGCGTGCAGCGGGCAGGGTGGGGGCGCGGGAGGCAGGGGGTGGGGTGGGGCGGGGGGGCGCCGAGGAAGGGTCCTGCCTCTTCCCCACAAGGTGACTCCTCGTTGGCGAGTCTCCGACTCGGGATGGGATCCAGGCCCCCGGTGGTGCATGAGGGGACTGTGCCCGGCTGTTTGCTCCAGCCGGGGTGAAGGGCACGCAGAGCAAGATGCAGAGGCCGGGGCTGCACCCACCTGCCCAGGCTGCAGCTCAGGAGGCCGTGAAGGGGGTGAGCGAAGAACAAAGGAGAGGACAGCTGCGCCGTCAGAGCCGCTTGCCGCTTCGCCGGGCACCCGGGGCTCGTGGTGCCGAGGCGGGGCTGGGGCGCCAGCTGCTTGCCTGACTGGCCAGGGCCCTGTGATGCGCATGGCCTGGAGCCAGGGCCGGCCCTCCCAGGAGGCGGCTGCAGCCTCTCCTGCCCAGCCACAGGCACTGGCTGCCTTCCTTTGCTGAGGTTGCCCAGCAGCGGTCTGTCGTGGCGCTCTCACGTCGGGCCCTCGGCAGGCGCCACGGAATACTACTCAGTGGTCAACAAACATGAGTCCTGCCGTTCGCAGCAACACGGACGGAGCTGGAGGGCAGTGCGCGGTGGAACAGTCAGGACGAGGATAACCAGCAGGCGGGGCCGCTGGCATGTGGAGCACAGCGGCCAAAGAGCCCTGCCGGCGGATGGGGCCTGAGGCCTCCAGAGGGGGAGCTGGGGTGGTGAGGAGCAAGAGGGCAGGGGGCTCAGTAGGCAGAAGACTGGGTGGAGGGTGCACCCGGGTGGAGCTGCCTGGTGGGGATCCAACTGTTTTCTCAAAGGTTCGATCCCCGGCTGCTCCCCGGCCACCGGAGGAGGGTCCCGCATGGCGCGCAGACCTCTCCTGCCGCCCGCTGCTCCCCTCAGCAGTGTACTTCGGTCCTTCTGCCTGCTCTGCTCCCCGCTCTGGCTCTGGTGAATTCTCTCACCCTCCCGCGCTTCTGACTGTACCCAGTGCTTGTATAGATAAATAAATAAATAAATAAATCTTAAAAAAAAAAGTAAATAAATTGACAAATTGAAAAAATAAAGACCCGACCTCGGACCTGCCAGGGCGCGGCGTTGGGCTTTGCCAAGGACACGCTGCTTCCTGCGTTTCCACCGGGGCGCGTTCGGTGGGGTAAAAAGCACCTCTGCTCTGCGCACAGGCCCTGGGCCTGCGGCTGCTCTGGCGCTGATGTGTCAACAAAGGATTTGCGCCTTCGCGTTTCACCAGACAAGCCCCTCTCCCCGTCCTAGGCACCGGGGTGCTGCAGCCCAGGGGGAGCCACGCAGAGGCAAGTCTTCTGGCATCCCGAGCCGCTCGTGGGTGGGCCAGCACCTGGCGATGCCCAGGTCACTGGGCCACGGAGCCCTGCGTGTCTCTCGGGCCCTGCCCGCCGGGTTGCCAGCACTTCCGCTCGGCGGCTTCTCCCCGGCTGTGTCCTTGATTAGCTCTGGGCCTAGCGAGTGTTTCGGGATCAACAGGCCGTGAGCGTTTCAGAGCCGTCTCTGGAAGGTTGGTGTTGCTCCTTGTCTGCATGTGGGGGGGGCCCTGGTGAGCCCCTGGGCAGGGAGGGTCTGGAGGGAGCCGTCCCCCAGGGTCCCCCCGCTTAGTGGCCTCTGAGCGCGGAGGTGGGCGCTCCTCGCGCCGGCGGACTTTCCTGGGCATTCCGAGTGCAGCCTCGCACCGTCCGCACAGAGTGACCCGCTGTGTGTCCGTCTGGCGCCCGGCGCTGTGTCCTCCTGTCCCGGCGGCGACTTCTGCCTTCTCTGTCTTGCCTTATTCCCGCCAGGGGATTAGCCGTTTTATCGGTCACTTCAAAAAGCTTTAATTTTTTTCGATGCCATAATTTTGTCTTCTGTGTTCTCAACACAGGCATTTGGGGAGCTTAATTTGTCTCTTCTGCCTTTTTGAAACGGAGGCTTCGCCGACTTCCAGGCCTTGTTTTCTGGCACGTCTGCTTACAGCTCGCCCCAGTCTGCGTCCCGTGCCCGGCGGGCGCTCTGTTCCAGCAGGATTCAGCCCGAAACCCGGCCTCGTGTCCCGGCCACCCGCGCTGCGGCCTTCGGGGGCCAGGAAGGACGGCAACCCCGCGTGTCCCGAGGGCCGGCCCGGCTCAGGCCCAGCCGCACGCTCCTGCTGGCGGTGACGTGCCGCCGACTGTGGCCTCTGTGCGTTGTGCGTGATGCGCCCGGTGCTGCTCTCCCCTTTTCCCTCGCTAAGCGGCTGAACACAGTTCATTCTAGAACTAAACAGAAGAGATTAAACGCAAGGACGCGGGCCCGAGGGCGGGCGACTCCGGCCTGCTGCTTATCAGCGGGCTTCGGGGGCGCGGGCGCTCTCGCCTCCTGGAGTCAAGTTTGAAAATAACGATCCTTCCAATTTTTGTGCTTGAGAACAATTCTCCAAACATTTGTTATGCGCCACAATGGTTCAGTGAAATTCCTCTTCGAAAAATAACTTTGAGCAAGAAAATCATTTAATCCCATTCAGAACCGCACACACCCGCTTCCGCCCGAGCCCGAGAGGGCGCCCGGGGTGGGGGCCGAGGGGCTGTCCCGCCCTCGGCGTGGCCAGGGAGGCCCTGCTGGCTCAGCCTGGTCTGGCCGCGGCTGCTCACGCCCAGGCGGCGGGTGATGCCGACCCAGAGTCTCTTTCCAGCGCTGCTGCGGTTTCCTTCCCTGAGCCCCCGCCGGCCGGCAGGTGTGAGCCCCGCAGCAGCGGCTCCCTCGGGCCGGGCACCTGCCCCGCGCAGCCCCCGACTCCTCCGTCCACCACTGCCCGGAGGCTCCCCGGCCTCGCGACGAGACCCCGGCGCGCAGAGGCCTGTCCCCGCGGAGGGCGCGTCGCCCGCTGCTCCCTCCTCGCCCCGACCCCGCGGGCTGGGCCGGCCCTGCTCCCCTCCGCGCCGGCGCCTGCCTTCTGCGGGTTCAGGCGATTTTACACACAAATTGAATTAATTTCAATTGTTTTAATTTTCAGGCTTGCATCTCCACTCGCTTCTTTTTGCTCGTATATAAAATTAGATTCCAGTTCCCTGGAGAAATGCTTCCTCTTTTCACCTGTTTTCAGGGACACAGTCGTGATTGTTTCAAGCTCCCGTCTGATGTCCGGGTCTGGCTCAGCCATCGGCGTGTCGCTCGCCTGGTGTTTTAAACGCAACGTTGGCCCCTGGACCCGCTTACGTGGTGCTGGTGCTTTGCTGCGAGCGCCTGGAGTCATCCAGGGAGGGTGTGGGGGGCTGGGCTGTGGGGGGACGCCGGGGGCCTGGGTCGCGGGGAGACACGGGGGGCCTGGAGTCCTCCGGGGGGGCGCGGGGGGCTCAGCACTGCTCAGCGCCCACTGCCGAGTTGCCTTCTCTGACCTTCCCTCTCATGTCTGCCTTCGTGCCCCCACGGCCTCAACATTCTGATTTTATTGAAAAATACCTTTTTATTTCTCTGGAAGTGACACGGTTTGCGAGAGCCCTTGGATTCCAGGGCGTCGCCTTTACGAGTCTCCACCGAAGTCCTGTCCACCACCGTGCACTGACCACCGCCCGGTCCCCCCGCCGCTCCGTCCCCGCCCCCGGCGGCCCTGCTTTGCTTCTCTGGCCGCGCCTCGTCTTGTCCGCACTCCATGCGGGAGCAGAGCCCCAGTGCTTGTCCTCCTGCTCCGGCCCATCCGCGGGGCAGGCGCCTAGCCCACCCTGTCGTCACCAACGGCCAGGGGCGTCCTCTCCACACCCAGGGCTGTGTCGGCAGGTGTGTCCAGGCCCTGCCGGCTGCGGCTGCTGCCCTGGACGCGCGTCTTTCTGGACTAGCTGCCCGCGTTCCCTGGCAAACACCCCCACCTGGGAGGGCCCAGGCATGTCTGTTTGCAATTGTTTATGCTGGAGCCACACGTGCGCACGCACTCACGCACACGCGCACGCACAGGTGATGTACGTGCACACGCACACGCACGTACACGTGCACACTCGCGCACCCGCACGGCAGCCAGGCGTCTCCAGGTATCCGCCGCCTGTCGTGTCCCCCTTGGGCTCTGGACCAAGCGCTGTCCTTCTCCTTGGACACGGTGACCAGTGCTCCCGCCACCGGCTGCCTCCCACAGGCGTGTGACCTGCTGCGGACACTCAGGTGACCTGCTGGAGTGGGCGTCCTGCTAGTCTGTGGTGCCGCCTCCCCGCGCTGGAGGCCGTTCCCTGGGCCGTAGTGGTTTCTCCTCTGGCCTTCCCTGGGGGTGCTCAGCCCTGATGCTGCTGTTGCCCCACCTGCCCCCATGCCCGTTCCTGGGGCTCCTGGGGCTCCTGGGGCTCGCCCCTCACCCCCGGGCGGGTCTGGGTGGGCCCCGCTGGCCTGTTAGTCAGTGTCCCGCCCTGAGCCTGGCTCTCGGTCCAGCCCATCACACCTCTCTGGACTCAGGGCTTTGAGGTGCGATGGGAGAACCCCTGCCGCCTCCCCCCAAGCGAGGTGGAGAAGCAGAGCCAGCACGGGGGAGTCGGGCTGCAGCAGTGCAGGCTGCTTCCCCAGGACAGCGGCTGGGCACCTGCCTGCCCCAACCCTGACCTCTCTGGCTGTTTCAGTTAAGGGGCGTTCTGATGTGTGGGTGCCGACGCCAGCGGCTTTCCTGCGCCGTGCGGCTTGTGCACGAGCAGGAGGGTTGTGCTGTGTGGACAGACAACACCTGTGCACACCTGACCCCGCAGCGCCTCGTGCTCCTGCCCTTGGGCTGGGCCTCGGCTCTCAGGTGCTGGGAATGATGGGGCGGGGCGGGGGCCTGTGCAGGGCTGACCACCCGCGAGGCTCCTGGCAGGAAACTCAACAAGTCCTAAGCATCAGGTCTCTCGTGAGCTGCCTCCTGAGGCCGGGATGGGGGGCTAACGTGGGCGCCCCGCCCGCCTGTGACTGCGCCTCGCGGGGTTGCTCTGCTGAGGCGGGAGGCTGGGCAGTGCTGGGGCCCGGCTCGCGCGGGGGCGCTCCGCTCCGACCGGCTGCTGCCGCTGCTGCCATGGAGCCCCTCGCCGTGGCTCCTCTGAAGATGGTGACTTCGGGCCCCAGCTCTCCGGGAGGGGGGAGCTGCAGACAGCGCCGGCCCAGCAGGTCCTGGCGCCGGGCCGTCCCGCCCTGTGGGCACAGGGCCTGGCAGCAGGCGCGTCCAGGCAGGTGCAGGCGGCTCTGCCAGGGGAGCCACGGCCGGGGCCCCCTCAGGCTCCCTCCCAGCCACCCGCAGGGCCCCTCAGCAGCCAGGGACACCCCTTCTTCCTTGGGACGGGAGCCCCTGCGCCACCTGCACGCGACCTGGCGCCGCAGGTGTCAGATGGTCCCGTGTCCGGCCGGGTCGCTGCCCGGGCGCCTCAGGTCTCCTCGAGCCCGGCCCGTCCGCGGGGATGCGGCCCTGGTCTGGGGGGCCCGGGGAGGCCGGCAGGGGGCCGGGGAGGTGGGGGGGGGGGGGGGGGGCCGGGAGGCCGGCGGGGGTCCGGGGAGGCGGGCGGGGGGCCCCAACACAGGAGGGCGACCGGAGGCCGTGTGTGCGCGACCGCAGGGGGCGGCGGACCGAGGCCAGGCGCGGCGGCAGAGCTGGGGCGCCCCGCGGACGAGGCCGGCGGCCGGCACAGCCCCCCGAGCCCCCGCGGCCCGGCCGGGCGTCTGGGTGAGTCTCGGGAGCGCTCAGCCTGCGGCTCTGCGCCAACTCCCCAAGAGGGGGACCTGGGGGTGGAGGGGAGCCCCGAAGACTCGGGGTCCCCCTCCGTGGCGTGGCTGCTCCCCGGCTGCAGAGCGGCGGGTGGAGGCCGGTCTCGCCGCCTCGCAGCCCGGGTTTCCTCAGGAAGGGCCGGGCCTGCCCAGCTCTGAGGGGCGGCTCGGGGGCGGCGGCCTCACCCCCACTCCCCTCACGGCGGGGGCCTGGGGAGAACCGGGGCCGCTGGGGCTGCTGCGGGGGTGCCGGCCTCCCGGCGCCCGCAACGCTGGGCTCGTGGGCGTGGCCTCCCTGCCGGGGGCGTGGCCTCCTCTGGCCTGGGGCGTGGCCTCCTCCAGCCCGGGGGCGTGGCCTCCTCTGGCCTGGGGCGTGGCCTCCTCTGGCCAGGGGCGTGGCCTCCTCCGGCCCGGGGGTGTGGCCTCCTCCGGCCTGGGGTGTGGCCTGCTCCGGCCTGGGGCGTGGCCTCCTCCGGCCTGGGGTGTGGCCTGCTCCGGCCTGGGGCGTGGCCTCCTCCGGCCTGGGGTGTGGCCTGCTCCGGCCTGGGGCGTGGCCTCCTCTGGCCTGGGGCGTGGCCTCCTCTGGCCGGGGGCGTGGCCTCCTCCGGCCCGGGGGCGTGGCCTCCTCCGGCCTGGGGCGTGGCCCCCGGCCTGGGGCTGCGGAGGCAGGTGTCTGTCTCTAGCAGTGTCTTCCCCCAGCAGGAGGGGGGCTGTTTCCTCCCCACTCGCTGGGAAGTTTCACAGGGGGCGGGGCACAGCCTTGGGGTGCGGGCAGGGCCCCCCTGTGCTGCCCCGGCCCCCGCCAGCCGGCCTGCAGCGGAGCTGGTGGACTTCAAGCCACCTCTCAGCCCAGAACATTTTATTCTGGTGAAATCTCTCTCCTGCCCCAATTCACTCACTGCAAAAACCAACATAATTTATCTTCTGGAGGGAAGGCTGCGGACTTCAGCTGCGTTTTTTTTTTTTTTTTTTGGCCCAAGCAACAGCTCTGTTTAAGTCACTTGAAGAAAAAAGGGAAAAATAGGCCCTGAGAAGGTTGCCAAGTCGCAAGCCGGAGGCGAGGGCCAGCGCTGGCCTCTTCTCTGGCGGGTGCAGTGGCCTCGATGCTCCCAGGGGCCCCTCGAGGGGGTCCCAGCGAGGTCGGCCCCAGCGAGGTCTTGTTCACCCTGTTTCTGTGTGCGTCACAGTCTCAGGGCCAGGGGTTGTGGAATTCCTTAGGGGGTGGAGAAGGCTGCTCCTGCTGACCCCTCAGTGCCCCGCGGCCCAGGCCCGGCCTGCCCGTGTGACCTCAGCCCGAACGGGCCCAGGGCGGAGGGGGTCAGCCACCCCTGCAGTCCGGCCGCTTTGCCCAAGGTCAGTACTGCCCAGCCAGGACAGAAGCCGAGGTCCCCGTTTAGGAAGTTCTGCTGCCCACCAAGGTCAGGGCAGCAAACCCCGAGGTTTGGAGACCCGCGTAGGGTCTGCTTGCGCCTCCTCCTTGGCGCCTGGGAGCCGAACCCTCCCTCGGGAAGGATGTGGTGTTGAGGGCTTCCCTGAGGAAATCACCTTCCTCTCCCCCCGCCCTGCACAGGACTGTGGTGAGCCCTGGTTCCCAGAAGGAGGCAGAGGGACGCCGACTCTGGGCCTTCCGGAAGCTCATTTGTTTTTTGTTTTTTTAAGATTATTTATTTATACAAGCACTGGGTACAGTCAGAAGCTCGGGAGGGTGAGAGAATTCACCAGAGTGGGGAGCAGAGCAGGCAGACTGACGAAATACACTGCTGAGGGGAGCAGCGGGCGGCAGGATTGGTCCAGGCCATGTGGGACCCTCTCTGGAGGCCGGGGATCGAACTGGTGCTGCAGAGGCTGCGGGCAGCTTCACAGCCCAGCGCTCAACCGCTGCGCCACCAGGAGAGGCCCCCGGAAGCTCACTTGTACACAGACGAAGATGGGGCTGTTTTCCTTCCAGACCCATGAGCCGAGGACTGATCCTAGCCTTTGCTGCGGCTGGGGCTGGGAACAGGTGTCCAGGGCACTGGGCTCAGGGGGTTACTTGGGCCACGCAGGGCGGGAGGGCTTGTGATAGCTCAGGCGGGAGGGGTGGCCTGGGACCGGCGGCTGGGCCAGGACCTGGAACCCTCCAGAGTGCCGCCCCCCAGCGGGGCTGCCCACCTGTTCAAGGACATCTGTGTCCCCCCTTGTCCTCGTGTCCCCCTGTCCCTAGAGCCACGGGCAGGGAGTGTCTCCCTGTCGCCTGCATCCTCTCCCTCGGTCTCCGCGGCAGGACTTCGCGAGAGAGGGTCTGGCTCACAGAGACTCTGTTTCTCCTTTGGGGGCGGCAGCGGTGCCCTTGCTATGAGGATGAAAAGGTGACGCTGCTGCCGGTGCGTCCCGTCACCCCGGGTGTGCCCATCTGGCCTTCACTGTGGCTCCCTGGCTGCGGCCGCCCCGGAGTCTCTCCCTCTCGGAGCCCCGCGCTGACCCCGGAGGCGCAGCAGGCACGTTCCCTGAGACATAGCAGGTGCATTTTATGCTGCGTTTTCTTTACCTTTTCCACTCTCCCTGCCCCCTCACGGCTCCTGGCTCCGTCCTGCTGGGGAGGAGCGGCAGAGCCAAGAATTTAAAAAATTTGGTAATGAAGATATTTAAAATGCAAACAAGATCAGGGTCTGATGAGGCCGCACCATTCTGGGGCCCAGGCGTCCTGCTCGGGCTGTGGGACCGTCCACTCACCCCCGAGAGCGGAGCGCTGCGCCCCACCCGGGTCACTGCAGCGGGGTGCAGGCCCGGCTTCCGCGGGAAGGGACTCAGGACTCCAGCTTGGGGCGCTCCCAGTCTCCGGGCTGCCTGGCCCTGCCTCCCACAGCAGAGCTTGGTCCCTGGCGCACCTCCATGTGCTCACCGCACCCGCTCCCCGCCCCTGAGCACCCGACATGATGGGGACGTCGCTCTGTGTAGACGCGGCACGTGGGCTTGGCACGTGGGCTGAGCCGCGTCGTCTCCTGCGGCGTTGACGTTGCTGTTAGCCCCGCTCTTTCCTGGAAGGGGGTATGGAGCCCAGAAAGTGGTCACAGCCAAGCTCATTTTTCTAGGCTGGATGACGTCATAGGCAAGGCCTTGACACGGCCCTGGGGCTGTGCTTGCTCCCCGCTTTGCTGCGTGTGTGAGTCTGGGCTCTGTGCTACTTGGTGTGATCTGGAAGGGGCTGGCTCGGGTCAGGGAATGCCAGTTATCTCACATCAGTGAACGGTATTTGCCTCTCGGCTTTAGGTCGTCTCCAGAGAAGCCCAGGGGCTGCTCGCCGGGACCGCGGGGGCTGCGTTCACATGGATGACGGCTCCGTGGCTGAGGCGGGGTAAGTGAGCAGTGGTGCTTCCTCGCGCTTCTCGCCCTCGATGTTGGAAGAAGAAACGTGCGTCTGTCCCGGGCCGGGCTCAGAGCCCCTGAGAGCATTGGGGTTCTCTTGTTATGTTGGGGAACTGGCCTTGGAGGCGGTGGAGGGTGGGGGCCGGAGGCCGTGGGGGCAACTGTGTGACTGGAGGGTGGGAACTTGCAGCCGCGCCGCTGGCCTCCCGGATTGGACAGGGCTGGAGACTGAGCCGTGGCCAGTG